AACGATGCTCAAAAAATAATTATACTTTCAATTTTTGTATTATTATTTGCAATTATTACAAGTGTTTATTATGTTGGGTTATATACAGTAATGAATTGGCTGTGTGGTTGGATTCTGGACAAATTTGTTGATAAGGTCGATAAAGATGCTACTCAAATTAATGATAAAATCAAATATAATTAATGAATGGTAATTATTATTATAAATATATTTATTAATATTAGTAATGATACATGCATAATAACTTAATTTCAATTAATATTCTAGTGTTTTATATATACTCGATTCTATAAAAGTATAAAAAAATATTTTTAAAAAAAGATTTTTTACAATTTTAAAAAAACATCTTTGACATATTCCCTATTTTTATCAAATGGTTTTGATTTTTATCTTTTAAAAATTTATAGTTTATTAGTGTAATTATTTGGTATTTTATAAATCAATAAATTAGCAACTTCATTTGCTAATAAAAATCTCGGGAATAATAATTTTCTTTATAAACTATTTCTTGAATTATTTTTCTTTGTCAGGTCGTCATCCTCATCTACATCCCATCCTCTTCGTAGTCATTATTCAAAATGACACTCAATTTGTATCCTGATCAATATTTATTTTTAAATCAATTGAAGTTCCCGATGCTTTGATTCTACCATTCAACATCATGCATATTTCAGCTTTTCCATAGAGTGAGTTGTCAAAACTATTGCTTTATCTTTCTTAAAGTCACTCAAGCATTTCCAAATATGTCTTCTATTGGCAGGATCCATCCCATATTGTTGGTTCATCCATAAAAATTACTATTGTTGACATTAATTTTGTTAATCTACGCTTCATGCCTCTGTTAAAAGAACCAACTAGTCTTTTACCATAAACTTTATTCAATTTCTATAACTACAACCTCTCGTTTATAACTTCAGTTTGTTCTAACTTCGATGAGTTTTTAATTCCAAAATACAATTCTAAATGTTCTTAAACTGTTAGGTCATCATAATGGACAAACACTGATAAAGTTCAAATCATTTCTCACGTTATAATAATAATTGTGCTATAGACGTAATAATGCACCTCCTCCACTTATTGATGTTGGACTTGATAACGTATTCATAAAAGTAATTTTACCTGCCCCGTTTTGTCCCGAGATTAAACAGTTATTTTTTTTTTTATCGATAAACAAAGTTTATCAACCGTTTTTGTATTTTTGTAAATACTAATTTTTGATTCGTAATCTAAATCGAAAACCAATCCTAAGGCTCCGAACGAATCAATGAAATTCGAACCAATTCGAATCCGAATTGTACTTTGATTCGAAAAGATTCGAATATATAATTTGATTCGAAAAGATTCGAATATATAATTTGATTCGAACGGATTTGAATATATAATTTGATACGATTCGAACTGATTTAATATATAATTTGATTTGAACTGATTTGATTTGATTCAAACTGACTGGTTCGAATCTATAATAATAACTGATTTGAA